CTTACAAGTCTGCACTGATCATAGCTCAGTTACCCAGATCAGGGCAGGTCATGGGAATTGTATATTTACAGCAGAAGAAACAGCGACTGAAAACAGCTTCAGACAATAACAGGGCGAAGAATCAATGGATCTACTGCATCCCTATTGTTCTTGGTTTTTTTTTGATAATGTATTTTTGTTAAGAGTAAAGGAGTCCCAGTGCTTGGTGCAGACTCCTGAGTAAAAGAACCTCCTTTTTCCTAAATACTGATGCACTTTGCATTTTTCAAATCAACTTCAACAGAATTTGTAAGAGATTTGAAACGGAAGAGTCTATAAGCAAAGCGAATAGGATGTTAGGTACGCTACCAAATTATGTGAGTTAATTCCATCCATGAAGTACATGTGCCGCCTGGTTTTACTTCCAATATATAGTTCTTTGCATTTTTCTGTGTTGAGTTTCATTTTTCCACTGAATAGCTCAGGTACCTACCCTGTCAGGACCTCCTTGTAAGAAGTTTCCCTCCATTGTTTCCTTCCCTTTGGTTGGTTTACATCCATGCCTTACCCTTAATACCCACTGGCAGCAGTTTGTACAAGAGTCTCTTTCTGACCAAGGAAGTGCACTGCATAATATGGCTTCCCACGCTCTATTTGGTAAGTTTGCTCCTCAAAAATGTCCAGTAATTTTGGCAGGTTATGTGTTAGCTGTCTACTGTAGGTTATGTTGGCCTCAGGTGTACTCCCTTCAGTAGGTTCTATGCCTAGACACCAATGTGTGCTCAATGATATGTGAATATATTGCTTTACTGATCTTGTCCGGCAATAGAACGTCTTTATTACAGTTTGAATGAAAACAAATGAAGCCAACAAATCAAAAATAGCATTGCAGAATGTGATGCTCTGGCAGTTTTTCGAAGCTGTAATCATCCTTTCCAAAAACACCCTGAATAACATTCAGGCTCCTTGCCCTGCTATTCAAAACATTCTGTAATTGAAACTTTTTTTTAGATCAGTGAAGATGGAATAAATATCTTAATCAGTCATAATTAAGTTTTTTTTAAAAAATGGAATCTTGCTAATTTAAAGAATGTGAATGAGGAATTGACTATATTAAAAAGAGCACAGAAATATATCCCATAAATAACATTCTAGTTTTGTACGTAATGAATTAAATACAGTAGTAACCACTTTTCAATATGCATTTCAGCTTTCCATAGCCTGATAATTAATACTTGACAATTAGCCGTTCATACTGCAGCACTGCTTCCTTTTACTCCTGCTTTCTTTTGAAGAACCATTTTAATCTTGCATCATGCGGAGCTTCTGTTTTATTCAAGCTGTGTTTCATAAACTTTCCTCTGAAGATTTCAACCATACAGCAGATTCCTATATAATTCACATGCTGCGGTAATTCACCCAACTACCCTGGCTGCTCACTCAGCTCAGCAAACACCAGCCTGCTTTATGTCCCTCGCCCAATGTTCCCTACTCTTAGTGGTGGGGGTGAGAGCGAGCTTTCAATACTGTGCACCCGCTCTCTGCAACTTCATCTCGGATGCCCCCTCCCTCCCAAAAACCTGCCTGAAAAATCTACCTTCTTGACCGACCGCACTTACGTTCATTTTCTCTTGCTACCACCCCACCCCCCCTCCACCCCCCACCTCGCCCAGCTTGGGTGGGCAGGCAGCTCTGTGAAGCGCTTTGTGTAAATATAAATCGTTGGTTGTTGCAGTTAATATGATTTTTATTGGAGAATGAAAATGATGCAACATTTCGTCTCTAATCAAAATTTATGTTGGGGAGAGCAGCACAATGAAGCATGTTTTTGCCTCCGTTGTCTATTTTTTTAAAAAAATGCTATTTGCAAACTGATGTATTGTGGAATTGTATTGTGCTTGAATCAGCCTTAGAGCCAAGTTACTATCCTGTTTGAATGATAATGCCAGAAATTATAATGCATCCCATGGAAACACCTTGATTGAATATTTCTTAGTAAGGCACGAACACAGTTCACATAAGCAGACAACATCTTGCCCTTTTACGGCTTTCTGTTTTTGTAGGACGACCTTTTCATAATGTAAGAAAAGAAACTAAGTGGCAGTGTTCCAGCGATGGATAAGGCAGCCTTAGTCTTGGTCAAGCATCCACACCCTCACCCATTCCTACGATCTAGGAGGGTCCCTTTTTTCTGGCACAGGGGTAGGACTCTTGCCTCTGAGTCAGAAGCTTGTGGGATCCAGCCCCATGTCGCAACTTGGGATCATATACTTATACTAAGCTGACACTCCATTGCTGGGGATGTATTGCATTGTCGGAGGTGCCGTCCTTCGGATGAGGCATTAAACCAAGGTCCTATCGCCTGTTCAGGTGAACGTTAAAGATCCCATGGCGCTATTCAAAAAGACAAGGGAGTTTCTCCTGATGTCCGGACCAACAATCCCCTAAACAAAGTTGGTCACTCACTCCATGGCTGTTTGTGGGACATTGCTGTGCGCAACTGGCTCCAGCGTTTTAATAATAATACTAATAATAATCCTTGGATTTGATAAAGCGCTTTTCACGTCGGAGGACGTCCCAAAGCGCTTCACAGAACACACTGTAAATAATAATAATAATAATAATCCTTGCATTTGATATAGCGCTTTTCACGTCGGGAGGACGTCCCAAAGCGCTTCACAGAACACACTGTAAAGTGAATTGACTGTATATTTGTGGGCGAACGCGGCAGCCAATTGCGCACAGCAATGTGCCACAAACAGTCGTAGATTGAAAATGACCAATTTATTATTGTTTTGTGTTTTGGAGGGATTATTATTAGGCTCTGTGTGGAGTAAGGAAACTTGGCCAAGGTTTCGCCCTCTGCCTGGAATTGAACTCAGATCTCTCGCTTGCAAAGCGAGTGCTCTAACCACTCAGTTACAGGACTCCACAATTTTGCCCGCAATATACATAGCCAATCCACTTTATGGCATATTGCTTTGAGACAACTCAACGACTACCTTATATGGGCTCTGTAAATCCAGGTCGTTAAGATATACACTAAGGTGAGATCCCAGTAAACATCGCTGAGGCACTCAACTTAATAATGTCTCCTGCAGCCCCTAACATCTGCCTTCTGCATCCTTCCCTCAGCCAATCTCAAATCCACATTATTTTTTGCTTTGATACCCAGCCGGGCATCCCAGGATTTGTGAGGCAACTTGAAAATCAAGAAGCTGTTCCTTAAAATTCATCTTATAACTGTTTCACAACAAGCCAGCAGTTTCATGTTAGAGACCTCTGAACTTTCTTCAACCGCGTTGCTCTTTCTATTGATTTAAGTTTTTTTAATGAGTCTGCAGGAGTGCATTAGAAGGCTGAAACATGCTGACACAGCCTCGATGGTTAACAATTTGTGGTTGCAAAAAGCGTTCATCCAACAACCAGCTTGTTTTAAATGCAGTGTTTCACATTTAGAACCAAAGAGGTGATTTTGCGAATTAAGATCTCAAAGAGCAAAGATACTCAAGTTTTCAAACAAGAAAGTAAGTGTTCAAAAGATTAAGTGAATAAACTAAAATACATTCCTCAAAGGTATAATTAAATCTTTAATGCCCACAGTAATGTAAAGGTCTGTATCTATGTTCAGTAACTGCTTTGAGATTGTTTAGCTATAATATAATTGTACTGGGTCATTAACCTAAGTAACATTTCAGATTCATTTGCTTTCAGCAGAAAATACCAGTTTGAGTGCAAAGATCTTCTCTCACAACAATGTACAACTTTGTAGCATCTTATAAAAAGCCTGTAGTTGGAAGGCTGTGAAACACTTGGCTGAATTTTGTGCTCATCAAGGTGGCAGATGAATGTCAGAAATATGTGACAAAAGAGGTCTTTGTAATCTGTTTCCTGAGCCGGATAGGTCTGCAGTACTCCCAAGGCAACTGCAAGTGCACTGTGATTGGGAGGATTTGGAGGGGCAGACTGGGCACTGGGGAGGCTGGCTTTTTTCCCATTTGGCTCCTGTCACTCCTGCAATCCAAAGGCTCGGTTGTCCTCGGTGGACAAGCAGCAGAAAGCTTACCAGATAAAGCTATGCGGTTTTAGCTGGTTAAACTCCAGGGGTAGCCCAACATATACTCTGGGGTCCCAAACCTTGGCTCTCGCCAAATGCGCTTAACACTTTCCAGAATTAGTAAAGCAGAGTGTGTTCCTCCAGTGTGAGAGTCAGATTCCACTCCAGACACAGGGAAATTTCCATTTATAATTAGAACCATAGACCTTCACATTACAAAGAAAGCCATTCAGTGTTGTGCATATATACAATGGCGATGGGTTTCAGCAAGCATTAGACATCCAGCTGGACTAGCTTCATACTTACAATTTAAGGGTTATTTGTTACTGAATATATGTTTAGGCAGTTTTTTTTTCCTTTTATCTAAAGTGATCCTTACAAAAGTTGTGTCACAAAATACACAGTGAATCCATTTTACAGTATCTTCTCTGAAGCGCTTTGAGACGTCTCAATGATGTCGCATACATGGAAATCTCTGGTTTGGTCTGATTTTGGTACACTTAAGCATGATGATGGATTTCTGCATGTCAGACTTGAGATAAAATGGCAAAACTTGGCAAACTTAATTTTTGTACATTATTTCCAATGGTATTATAGGCCAATGCCTCCCATTTTACAAAGATATTTACAATTTTTACATCTACTTTTTTTTATAATTAACTCAATTACTTTTAATTCATGTTAACATGATAAAGGTATGTTCCCAGAATCGTATGATGGGATTTGCATAATTAATGAAATCACATTTTAATCTAATTAGAGATAATACGGAGAAATATGAAACAAAATGAAACTTCTGTTTGTGTCTGTGTAAGCAATGCTTTAGTTCGGAATTATGAGGCATTTACATTTTTGGTTTCAGCTCTGAATACAAGATTGTGCTGCTCTGTAATTCAGTACGCCCAGAGCAAAGCTTCCTTTTATTCTGGTTCCTGTTCATTCAGACTCCTCTTTTTTCACACAGGTCTCCAAAGGCTGCGATTACATCTTTGTGAGTGGTAAAGAGTCTCGAGGCTCAATGAACGCTCGGGTCGTTTTCAGCTATGAGCACTTGAGTGCCCCGCTGGAGCTGACTGTTTGGGTGCCAAAACTTCCTCTGCAGATTGAGTTGTCAGATGGCAAACTGAGCCAAGTAAAAGGCTGGAGGGTTCCCATCCTACCAGACAGAAGGTAAGTAGCCCAGATCCATTCGCATCTTCCAATCAATAAAGTAGAAGCTATTTTCACTGAAAATGAGCAGTAATGTGAATCATTTCCTCAGTGGAATGGAAGAAACAATTATTTTGACTGAATACTTTCAGTTCAAATTTTAGTGACATAAATAGGTTTTTGAAAGTCATTATACAATCCTTCAGATTTACAGCTTAAGCTTTTTTTTAATAGAACATTACAGCACAGAAATGGGCTATTCAAATCTGCACTGGCGTTTTTCTCCAATTAGGGTTAATTTAAATCCATAGATTCAATAAATGAACAAAAAGTGCTGTGACAAGTGCTGTAGTTCAGATGAGACATTAAACCAATGTCCCGTTTGTCTGTTCAAATGGATGTCATGATCCCATGATACTATTAGAAAAGAGAAGGTAGTTTCTCCTTCTGTCCTGTCCAACAATCTCCAGTTAAATTCACTTTATGGCTATTTGTGGAACATTACTGTGAACAAATTGGCTGCTTCAATTATCTTCAAACACACAATCACTTCACTTTACAGGAGTTACCTATGAAGCGCTTTGAGACTTGTATCTCATCACGTGAGATGTGAAGCCCCACATCTGGAGTTAAATTCACTGTCTAGGCTGACACTCCAGTTCATAATAATAATAATCCTTGCATTTGATATAGCGCTTTTCACGTCAGGAGGACGTCCCAAAGCGCTTCACAGGATATACTATAAAGTGAGTTGACTATATTTTGTGGGCAAAACGCGGCAGCCAATTGCGCACAGCAGCGTCCCCACAAACAGCCGTGGATTGAGTGACCAAATTAAGGAATTATTAACCGCGGAAAAGTGATCTAACAATTGTCTAACAACCGACTTCCGACTTACTGCTAGATAAACAGGCTGTGGAGTAAGGAAACCTGCCCAACATTTCGCCATGCCAGGAATCAAATCCAGATCTATTGCTTGCGAGACAAGTGCTCTAACCACGGAGCTACAGGACCCCACATTATTCACACTAATTGAAAATTTTCCAGCTAGGACTACCCTACCCGATAGGGATTTGACTTGTAGGGCTAACAGTAGCTGAGTGGAAGAATCCCTGGTCTCATTCACTGGTCTGTTCCTCCAGTCCTACCCGATGAACCAGACTGTTATCATCAGCATATTTTGACATGATATAAAATATGTATTTTTCCTGGTTTCCGCACTGCCCATAGCAGTGGTTGGAAGGGAATAGCTGGAATAGCTGGTTCAGTGTGCTTGAAGGAAGTTGCAGAGGTTAAAGTGGGGCAAGACCATGGAAGTTTTTGTACTTGAGAACAAGGATCTTGAACTCAATCCACTGGGGATGAGGAGCCAGTGGAGCCAAGCGAGGGTGGGGGTGATGGGCTCACGGAGCCTGGTGTGGGAGAGGACATGGGCTGTAGAGTTCTGCTGTTGTGTAGGGAAGAGCTAGCAAGTTTGGTGAGCAGAGCAGAGCACTTTTGGCCATCTTTCCAACCCCCTGGTCTCCCACCCCCACCGTGGTGAACCAACTAGAATATGAAGCACTTTTAGATTTCCTCCTGATGTGAAAGGTAATTGTGTATACTGTATGTGCTCCATGTTTCAGAGCCACCCGTGACAGTGAGGACGAGGATGAGGAAGAACGAAGCAGAAGTCGAGGTTGCACACTGCAATATCAACACACATCAGTGAGAGTGCTCACCCAGTTTCACACCACCTCTTCAGAAGGCACCGATCAGGTCATCACCATGTTGGGGCCTGACTGGTCAGTCGATGTGACTGACTTAGTCAGTGGCTTTATGGAGGTAGAGGACACAAGAGTTGCCCAGATTGTCAACAGCAATGTATTGGCTGGACGAGAACCTGGAATAACTATGTTCAAGGTTAGTTTTCTTCCATTCACATTTTCTGTTTATTTACTTTTCTCCCCCTCCCTCGGGTTAGATGACATTTCAGGACAAGTTGAGTTGACATGTATCAGTCTGGAAAAACAATATAATAACTTGAAGTCTCATGTAACATGCATCTTGATTTAGCATGTGATAGTAACTGCCATTCCATATTACTATTCCAGCTTCCGATAGCAGTTTCTCTCATTAGCTTCCCTCCGGAAGATTTATTACTATGATCCCAATAATAAAAGATGGGCCCTCTACATATATATAATAAGATATGGTGGGCTGTCGTTTGGCAATTGCCTTGCTACATGCTACAATAAATGGTACCATACACAATGACATTGCCAACAGATGTCCTTACAGGTGGCTTACAGACTGCCTCGAGTATCTACTCAAACTTTACATCGATGGCACCTCTGCAGTCAGTAGCATGAAGGTAATGTAGCCCGAGTATTCAATGTCAAATTTGAAACTGAAGACAAAATTGACTATAAAAGCAAGGCCAGCTTGAGTCAAAAACCTTGACCCTAATTTAACAACACATGGGCATCAAAGCAAGTCAATCAACTATTTTCAAAATGAATGACTTGAAAACAGAATGTTTTTGAAAGGAACTAATTACATAGGATCAAAACTAGTTTTTGCTTCATCATTAAACTATGCTTCCCAATGCGCTACATTTATGGGTATCTTTGATGACTAAAAAAATTGATAAAGTCCAGATTTTTAGAAGACAGCATTTGCAAATGAACCGAGGATTGTTTCTCCAGAAGCGAGCACTGATGAAGAGAAGACTGTCAGACTATTGAACAAATCCTTTGATCAGTTATATAACATTGAGGTAAACGAGCAATCAACTGCAAAGATAATTGCTGAAGCTTTGAACTTTGGGAGATTAAAAAGAAATATATATGTACTTAAACAAGCTGTAAAAGGCAAATGTTATTAATAAGCATCATCAGATATCTTTGTGAGAGCTGATATCCCGTTGAACCAGATGTAATTCATACCAGCTAACTTGCTGTTGGGAAAGGGGGATATGAATTGTCGTTTGTCTGTAAGAAATGATTGTTGTATTTAGGAACATTTACTTAAAAATGAGATACTTTATGAAGTTTCTCCAATTAATTTTGTGAACAAGAAATAGAACTTTCAAACATTCTGGAATTGTATCTAACAGTCGAGCGTAGCACCACTAAACTGAATGTTTTGCGCCGTTATGTGGAGAAGACATTCATTACATATATTTATAGCTCGTCTAGGATCAAACATTTTAAATATTGGATTCTTCCCATCTTCAGCAATATTCACATACACATAGAATATATTTCTTCAACATCATAGGTAGGAATACTACTCCTTTAAATATTGTTGTGGCTACAATTGATCTCAGCAACACAGTGTTATGAAGGCAAATGCAGTTTTCATGTGTGTGGGTGGACATTGGGTGAAGGCAGACTGACTAGCCTGCCAATAAACATTGTCAAATCTCACATATGACCCCTTGGATGAAGTACAAAGGGAAGAGGTATTCTCCAGTAGAAGGGGAAAAAAAGTGCGCTATATAAATGCAAGTTGTTGAATCATGCTATGGTACCAGGCGGTTTTGTCCTGTGTTTGTCTACACAAGGGAGTCTGTTGTCACAGGAAGGTCAGGAGAAAAGGCACAAAGAGGAAGGGATAGCAATTTGGAGGTAGCATCAACCCATGCCAGTTGTCCAACAACAACAACAAAGTTACATGTATACAATGCCTTTCACGTTGGGAGGACGTCCCAAGGTGTTGGACAGTCAGGGATTTGGACCCAAGCTGGGGGTTGGGTTTAGGAGGGGTAGGAGGGTGGCTGAAGCCACGGTCGAAGTGGAGGGTCTTGAGATGTACCTTGAAGGAGGCGATTGGTGACTATAGAGAAACCAATCCTGACTGTCCAGCTCCTTGGGACATCCTCCCGACATGAAAGGCTCTGTGCTAATGTCATGTGTTGTTATTGATGGGCTCAGGACCCTCAAACACTCTAACCCTCAATGTGGAAGCCAGAGCAGAACACAGGGCATCAGATCTCAGTCTGACCTTTCCCAAGGGAAGATCTTCATTTCTATTTAGGCACAGCTCACAGTGAAGGTGAATTTGATTTGTTCCGAACTGTATGAATGAAGGAATTGATAAGTCACCATGCTCCTCACTGGAGCGCGTCTCACAGACACTTACCAGCTAGAGAGAATACAAATGACGAATGTCTCAGAGCAGATTGCTATCCACACACTCTTTAGTCACATGGCATAGGAAGTGCTAAAGAGAGGATATAACGATAAAGACGAGGAATAGATCATTATTTTTAACAATCAGCATGAGATAGACTCGCAAGGACTGATAATTTCAGACACTGACAGTTTTTCAGGTGCAATCATAGGCTTGAGCTGGTGAAAGGGATATAGTACGCCAGAAATGCAATACTCTGAATGTCTCTATTAGCTGGAAAAGAGAGTTGACTTTTCATTTGTCAGTGTGTTAGAGCTTTGCCAGGTGTCTAATTTTCATTTCAATCTTTGCAGGTTGTCTCTCCGCTAATGGAGGCTGTACTGGGAGAAACATCGGTGACTGTTGCTGATGATAAGGTGACCATTACTGACCTCCGAGCAGAGCTTGTCTCTGGTCTGTCACTGAGTCTGGAATCCAATCCTGGAAACAGTCATACTTTCATTGCCAGGACAACTGCCCGTCAAACCCTGCAAACAATCAAACAGGTAGAGTGATCTTGTCAATTAATCAACTTGAGAACCACCACTATTAGCAAAGTCTAGAAGAACATTACCTTTGTAAGACTTCTTATCACATCAACATGTCTCAAAGCACTTCATAAGTAATCACTGCCAAGTATATTGAATGTTTTCTAGGTAAACATTTGGACCAACAGGATCCCACAAACAGTCCTGATTATTCAGGATGATTGTTGGCTGGGATACTAGGATTAACTTTGTTTTCTTTTTGATGCATTATAAGAATATAAGAATTCAAGATACACATCAACAATTAATTTAGGATGATCACCAAAAATAGTCCCTCCAATTCAACCCCTCCCTCCCCACTTTTAAAGCTTGCCTTAAGACTTGCCTCTTTCACTACACTATAGGCAATCTTTCCCTCCCCATCTTTTCACCTCCTTCCCCCCCACTCCCCACCTTTGGCTTTGGGTGCCCAGCCAGCTGTGTAAAGCCTTGTGAGATGTCCTTCAAATGTGAAAGAACAATATAAATATAAATTGTATTTTGCTGTATTGGAAATTACTGAACTAACATTACCAACTCATTATGAATCTCAATAGGACCCATTATATGTATTATATACATTATGATTCCTACAATCTCATTGCTACAAGTGTAAACAGGTTTTTACATTGGTGGCAAGCTACATCAAGGGTTCACTTCAAACCGCATTCTCTGAGTGACTGGTGACCCTCACAGATGAGGCTAACTGGTGCTTTTAACATGTTTACCTGTAAACAGCTGAATAATCATATGAAAAATTATGTCTATAAGGTCAAATGGACGGTAGCTTTCGTATTATAGATACTGATGGATAATAGTAACTCCGTAATGACCATGTGTGCTTCAGTGCGATGGAGCTTAAAAAAGACTGAATGAAGAAAGGGATAACCCCTAATCTTCAGTATTCGCTGTACATCCTCTGAACAATTAGAAAGTGAAGCAAACATCTCCTTTCACATTGGTGACCTTGTCTCTGCACATCTCTGAGTGGTTTATTGTGGATAATGTGCATCACCAATTAGGACCGGAAGGTTCATCCTCCAGTTAACCTGGGCAGAGAAATCATTCAGCAGCTATCATATAGGATATTTTTAAAAACATTTTAGCAGTAACAAGCAATCACTGTTCAGAGATCGAGTCTTGTATATACACTTTGTGTGAACTTAAATGGCATTGTTATGCTATGAGTGTTTGACCAGATTCATTCGTGAAGTATTCTACAGCAGAGCATACTGTAGAATGCTCTAACTATAGCATTCTCTGAATAAGTCTAGCTATAGTCTCGCTACCAATTCAACACATCAAGCAGTTAGATAACGTCTGTGCTAGATTTATTGTAGCACAAAAGCTTTGCTGTTTTGATATCAATTTTTATTTTGGGTCAATTAAACCAATAATAATTTATGGTGCCAGACTTTGAGAGTCGATGCAAAGACTTGGGCCATCTTCTGCTTACTAGCAGGAAGCTTTTACTGTTGTCTGTACTTCACTCTGTGTGCACTCGCTTACCTTGAGTTTTAGTAATTTAGCTGTAGGTAATTAGGAGATTTCAGGGTTTTTTTTGTCATTCGGGTGTCTGTCACAGGCAGAAACATATTATCATGCTTAACAGTATCTAAACCAAACTGAGAGTTCCATGCATCCCACCTATACATGGAAATTCTCAAGATATTTATTGGAATGGAGTCTTTTTGGAGGGACGCGTTTTGCTTACCTAATTCCAGAGAGTGTTAGGAACAGGTTGGCAACAGCCAAGGCTTATGGACTCATAGTGTGTGTTGGGAGTCCAAACAGGTATAACCACGTAGCTTTCCATTGGACGCATTGTCCAGCAAGGTTTCCCACTGCTCGTCCAGCTAGGACAACCCTACCCGATTTGCAGTGCACAATTAGGTTGCCTGCTAGGCGCTCAGAGCTGCCGCATTGTCTTACATAAACAGTCACTCCGCTTAAATCCTACAAAGCACTTTGGGATATCCTGTTTGTTCCTCATCCCCTCCGTTCCACCAGCGATGACCTTGCTTTCAGCCACTACTCCCCGAAACTTTGAAACTCAATCCTTGCCCCCTTCTTTCCCCATTTTCAGATCACGCCTAAAGACCTTCCTCTTCGACCGTGGCCATGGTCACCATCATGCTTGGCTTACAGTTCCGCACAAGAGTGAAGTAATATTGTTGTAGAGTAAAATAAACTTTACTTTGTGCTGCTTGAAATTGGCAAACTTTAGAAAACTAATTGCATAGTGTCAATATGCAAGGGATTTCATACGTGTTCATTAAAATGGAATAAAAGTAAGTAGGGCAGCTGGTGGGTTGCAGACTGCAGACCATCATAAATCAGTTTCTAGTACTACAGCAATCAGTATATCCACAATCAGCAGTGAGGTGCCCATAGGGCCCGAACATAATTCTGTTCCTTTCCTTCTGTCTGTTGGTATTAAAGGGCAAGGAATCTTATTTTCCACGATTAGGATTCTGTTTGGATTTGATAAGTTCTGATCAGAAAAGTAATGAAATTAATTCATTGTTTTACTTTGATTTCTGACTGTGATATAAACCTCCTAATTAGTTTAGAGTGAAGCACTTCTTAACAGGATTGCCGTGAGCTGCTTCCCTTCCACTTGGCCTAATGCACTATTTGCATCTTAATGGAGTTGGCTTTAGGGTATAATCTGAAACTATACTTGACATTGGATACAAATCAAAGGGCAGCTCGGAGTGTGGAGATTCAATACAATTATATGCACCGGAGCAAATAAATACTAGATTTTTAATAATGTTCTCTCACTTCTGTGAATTTTATAGTCACATTTTTTAAATTAATGCATTCTTTATGTACATAATGATTTGCTTTTTCTGACTCACGCTTAGAAGTGGAGATATTATTCTTGTAAATAATATTAATCTTTGCATTTGATACAGCGCCTTATCACGTCTTTGAGACGTCTCAAAGCACTTCACAGAATATACTGTAAAGTGAATTGACTAAATTTATGGACTAGTGAGTTAATCCATCAGCATTAATCAGATGATGCTTTATATTAAAAAGTTCAAGTAGGGTGGAGGTATTCAAACAAAAAAAAGAAGAAACTGAAGCATCTCAAACTTTATGATTTAAAACAATTAAGTGTCATTTTCGGAGGTTGTTTGGGGTTAGCAAAATAGCCATGATTTGGGATCATTCATTGACCTCTTGTTCATTTTAGTCTTACAACACTCAAGTCTAGCATTTTTCCAGTCAGGCTCTCCGAGACTGAACTACTTTATACTTCCAAAAATATTTTATGAAATTTGTAGGAACTCATTGATCAGCTGAGAGTCTTGATAGAATTATTCTTCAGTATATGTGGACTTCTAATCCAAGTAGCTCAGTAACTGGGCATAACAAAAGTGGTAGAAAGGTTATTGATGGTTCATTACATACATCTCTTAAAGTTATTCCAGCAGCTCAACTTCTTCTCCCAATGGCTTTTCAAAACAATTGCTTATGCTACAACAGCACTGATTTTCCGAACCATAAATGATGTGCTTAAAATTACAATTAGAAACCACAAGCACATTTAACTCTGCCTCAGTCATTCTTAGCAGAATGAGAAGCACAATTTCAATATAGATAGGCTCAGGGTTTTGGGATTCTAAGTCAAATGATGCATCAAGTTTGAATGGAAAGCTAAACATAGTCAACATTAGTTTTACTACAAGCTGATGCAACATTAAACTATATGTCTCCAAATTGAGCGCAACATTTATGCATTACTACAGTTGCAATTGTTCCTTATCCTATCCAAGGGTTCCTTCAGTAAACGGCTCTGAAGCACTCAGCATTGGTAACTCTCAGATGAATGGGGAACAGACAATCTATCCCTTGGGTGGAAAAGATTGCTTTTTAAATGACCTAAATATCGTCTTTGAACTTGGTCAGAATTAACAGTAATAGGACTGATAACCTAGCCTTTTTGCTCATTTACATTTTGAGTTTGGAGAGAATTGTTACTGAACTTTTTAATCTTCAAATTGAACATGATCTTGTCATGATAAAAATTCAGCGCTTAACACAAGTAGAAAATTATTTTACTGTTTGGCTCTATTATTTATTCTGCCTTTGCGAGTTTTAAGACAAACTGATTATTGAATGGAACACAAGCATTATCAGAACATGCTACTTATAGGCTAACACTTATAATTCAGTTACCTGAATGAGAGTCAAGAAATTGGTATTTAACCAGGTAAAAGTGTCAGTGAGCATTACCATTGGGACATTGTTAATTTAAAGCATTCCAAACAAATCTCTCTAAGGTGGTTAGAATTGGATAACTGTCAAGATTCAGATCATTTGTTTCTCATCATTACACCACTAATTGCAATTAAAACCAAAATCCAGTGTTTTCACAAGATCGGTTCAGGTGAAGAAGGCCCTTCAGCAAGGTTGATTTCATCCTTACAAAAAATCGACTTTACCATCCTCTCATCAAGCTGTTCCTTATTATTATTATTAAATGAGTCCAACACCCTGACTTTGACAGCCCTTCTGGGTAACTCATTCACCTACAGATACACACTTTAAAGCAAACTTTGAAGCGCTTTGAGCCACACTCCTGACATGAAAAGCTCTAAATCAAATACAAGGATTATTTATTTACTGATTACCTGGTGCGTAAATAAGTGCTTACTGGTATCTATCCTTAAACCTTTGTATCTTGAATCTGTGCTCTCGTGTTCTGCTGAGGCTCTTAATATAACTGAAGATAGTTCCATTCAATACACCCATACAGATCCGAGCACTGTACCCAGTTGTGGCATAGTGTAAATCTGGTACAACATAATATACAGTACAAAATCCCAATTCACTTCCCTTGTCACATAATGGAATAATATTTATTTTACAATGACAGTGCTACCTGTGATGGTATCATTTTTTCTTCATTGAACCCACAAGGAATACTACAGCACTAGTGAATCAATGTATGGGGAGGTGGGGGGTGTTATTGAACCGTTCTGTACTTCCAATTATGAAATCTATTATATTAATTCCAATGAAGTTACAGGAAACCAGTCTGTCTCTGGGTGATGATAACCTTCCTTTTATGACGTTTGCTGTCAGTGTGAGATCAGGCTTATAGCCTGAAGAAATAAAAATGCAATAAGGTCAAGGTTAACTGGAGTTTAGGGCAGCATCAGAATTATAAGCTTCAGTCAGCGTGTACAGAAGATAGTCCAGAGTCAGACTCGGGATGCAACGTACTACTTTCTCATTTCCATCCAAATGACCAGTGTGGGGAACACTGAATAGTGAAATTGTTATCAGTGGTAAAAGATTACATTTCAAAAGCTTTTGACTACATTACAGAACTGTAAAGACTGTCTCCAGTTTCAAATTAAGTCTAGNTTTTTTTTAAGACCACAAATTATTGGTGGTCAAAGCAACCTTTTTTTAACCTTATGTTTCAGATTATTAGTCATTGCAAGAACAGCAATATTGTTATTTTTTTAATGGGTTGATCTGCTGTCACCTGTGTGGGTGAAAGCCTGCAGGTCAATTGCCCGCAAATTGGAACTGTACTTAAATAATAAATATGCTGCTGCTGCAATTCAGAACAAATGGGCTCCTCCGGTCCATCATACAGGAGACAGATGTCGAGGAACATTTAATGATTATTTCAGGTCTTTCATGAATGTAAAAGCCTCATAACTCTTCATCCTGCAGGCATGAGTTATCGTAGTCTTTTCAAATCAGGACAAGAAGGCCTGAAGCTCATTGAATAGCTGGTAAGCTATTCTAGCGTCACACTACTCGGTCACACTAAATATACTCCTACTAAATATAATATAATAAAATACACCCTGTTTGTTTATGGCACTTTTGGTCTGTACATCGATCCATTGTTACAAGGTGGCCTGCGTTCATCATGTTTACAGTGATTTTAATAGAAACCATTGTTTCAAACCATCTTAGAAGACAATCTTACAAGAATCACCATTACCATTCTTGCAGAATCTTTTGAGTGTCTGCATTCTCTATATCAGTCGTGGCCAGGCTATATGGTCGCCAACACAATAAATTTTCCTGATCGAATGTTTCTTAATTGATGCTATAAATCAAGAAATATTCAATCAAGAAAAAACTGAAAACACAGTTCAGGATCGAATATGGACTTGTGCATTTTGTGGCACACACCCACTGCATCTCCTTTTAGGGATAGAATAAATTGCCTGTACTTGGCAGTTAAATATAACTGAACTGCTGACTGGGGTGCAGGGCCTTATTTATAATGGCAAGCACTGCAGGAAAGTCATACGATGATGCCCAAAGGTATATCCAGCAAAATTATATTCTACTCAGCAGAAAAAATTGCCAATGAAGGATATTCAATAATATGTGGTGGAGAGTGACAAATATACAAAATCTCTTATTCTATAAAGTATAAATTGGGAGTATTTACCATTGAAAACTCTCTTTCCAAGGCATGTAGAAAACAAAAATTATAAGTGGGGGGAGGAGGTGAGAAGTACAACACTGTAATAGTGGTTATTGAGTCATTTTTGGTAGCTTGTAAGTAATGAGCTATATTATATTCATTTCTCATACCTGGGACATTTTAATATGTTTCGAATCATTAAGATCTAATCATCCTTTTGAAAGAACGATCTTAAAAGCCTGCTATTTATGACAAATGTTCACAAAAATTGTTTTTCACTTTCAATGGGAAATGTATCATTCCCTTTGGCACTAAAATGTGCTCTTCTTGTGCTCATCAAGGTGAAAGATGTGCACGGCCTAGAACACTTACTCCTCCATCATTGACATTTACTATTAGCATCAACCTCTCTCCTTGGACAGCTCCAGCACAGAAACATGAAGGGTAAAGATCCTTCTGTTCTACTCCAATATTAAATGTTAATCTAAGTGACAAAGCAATTCAGCACCTTGTTAAACCCATATTTGTAAGCACTCTCATCATCTTTGTTTTAATTGAGTGAAATTTACATTTTCTTGAATCATAGTACAGTAGAGATTACATGATACAATAAAACTCTGAGACACCATTTAGTCAAGTTTTTGTCTGCAATGTCAAGTCTATACAGTCATTTTTTGTACAGTGTAGGATTAGAGTCAGAAATAGAATATAGAAAAAGAGAGAAGGGTTGCGAGAGAAAGTCCATTCTTGGTTTTGGTGACAGGTGGAGAGGAGAAAGAGGCAGATTTTGTTTGACACAAACTCTTTGGTCAAGCACAAGTCATTAAGTAGGCTGCAAATGCTGTGTTATCAGTGCTTATGACAGTTTATATGTGTCAGACTGTCTTGAGACATCTCAAAATGCAAAGCTTATTATAATAATAATAAACCTTGTCTCAAAGCATTTCACAGAATATATTCTTGTAAGATACTGTGTATTTTGTGGGCGAAACTCGGCAGCCAATTGAGCACAGCATAAAAATTCCTTATGGTGTCCGTGTCCTTGTGGAACATCCTTTGGGTTAGATGCTGCAATGGTGATTATCTGCACACAGAAAGATTCAAAATGATATCAACTCACATAGGGTGGTTTGGGATGTCATGGTGTTGCTGCATAAGGGGAGGTTGAAGCCAGATTCATTTTTACCATGTAAAGAGTATCACGAAGATCCATTGGATATGATTTATATCCCACTCATGGATGACTATAAATCATACCTTTCTTCTTAAGCTAGCTCATTTATGAGATATAAATCATATGGCATGGGTCTTAATAATGTATTATCTGTATATGTCCCAGTTGGTGGTGTCAGTTTTATTTATAGCACTTGTAGATAGGTTTACAGCTAAAATATGAACCAAGAAGTTTATATCCTTAAAAAGTTGCAGAGGGTCAGGTGAGGTTGCTTTGAAATGTAATTACCATTACAATGTCATATCTGGAAAATGATTGTTCGACGATCAGTTGGGCTATAGCATTAAGCCTCAGGGCCGATCATTACAAGCCTCTTAAGTACACAGTTACTACACTTCACAGGATTTCCCGTGAAGTGCTTTGAGATATCCTTCTGACATGAAGGCGTTATTTGAAATGAGAGGATTATTATTATACACCCATAACTCCCACCCTCGCCAAGCTCTGTCAGCTCCCAATATCCAAATAGATTGAATTCCAGACCCTTGTTCTGAGCTTCAAATCCCTTCATAATCTAGCTCTTTGCTGCTTCTGCAATCTCCTCCTATTCTGCTCCTACCCTCAGTTCTTATAAGCCGGGTATACTGCTCTTTTCTCAGTGCCAATTTTCCTGTCTTTGGTGGCCAAGCTGTCAGGCACTTGCTCCCCCTAGTTCTGTTATTCTGTCTCCCAAAAACCTTTGCTTTGTGCCTTCCTTCTACCCTATTAAAAATTGACCTCTTTGACCATTGCCTTTGACTCTTTCTCCTTTTTCTGCTCAGTGATCCCCATGGTCTTCATGGTCCTTCATCTTATGTGAAAAACACCATATAAGTGGAGACTGTTGATGGACCAAAATGGTCAACAGGAAGAGCTGGCTGCTTCCTCTATCTTTTCCTACTAAAGAGAATCGAATAATGCTTCATGTCTAAAATAGAGTATATTACATTGAAGCTTCCTCTTTACATAAATATTACTGTATGTTTGTGAATGAAGAGATGTGTTTTTCAAAATGCTGTTTAAGGAGCAAATTGTAGCCTCTGTAAATCCCATACAGTGAAGGAGTCTGATTTATTGAAACTGTGCCAAATTCTGCTGCACTAAAGCCAAGAAAAGGTGCAGCAATTATCAAGCTACACATTTGACAATTCAATCCTTTCTTCTATATGTTACATTTTAATCAAATCTATTGCGTAATAACTTCTAAAAGGATATTCTGTGAAATTATACAGTGGTGCTGAATATTATAATGGAAAATGCAAATAAAGCAAAGGTATAAAGGATTTTCAGCTAATGTTATTCTCTAAATGAAATGAAAACCTTCTGTCTCACAGTCTTTGAAGTAGTTCTCTGATTTAATGGATTACTTGGAGAGAAAAACATTTCAGAGCTCAGAACCGACTGGCCAATTCTTCGGTTTTAAAGAGTTTCCATTCCATTGATGAGCTTGATGAAGTCAGTTTAAAATCCTGAACTGTAGATTTGTACTAGCCACGTACTGCAGTCACTGGTTAGTGGAATATTTCAGTTAGTGTATAAATGTATATAAAGTCCTACATTTCCAGATCACACACATTTCAAAAATGGTGTAAATCATTATTAATCATAACTTTTTTGTGTTTTTATTAGGAAGGTGTCCTGAGCACATGGATTTTTTACAGCGACAATACAGCAGCACCTTTAACTCTGTTTGATGTCAGAGACTACACACTGACAGTTAGCACACTGGATAATAAAGTGGTCTCGACGTCCCACAATCCTGCCTGGTCTCTGATCACAGCAGAAGGGGAGGGTTCAGGTGAAATGATCAAGGCAGAACTTTTGATCTGTGAAACATGCCAGAAGATCAAGCGCAAGAGTGTGTTGTCTGTAGCTCTGGTCAATGTGAAGGTGCGTTTTGGATCAGAAGATGGATCCGAGGAAGATTCAGAAAATATCAATGAAGATTACGGACCTGATGGGGATAAATTTGAAAGTGATTCCTTTGGGCGGAGACCAAAGGACAATTTGATGCCAGGCACCTCATCTTCACAAAGTGACCGTGAGGAAAGTGCTGTACGAAAAGTCAGTACAACAGCAAAGTCAAGTGTAGAAGAAAGGACAGACCCTCGTGTGGGACCAGGTAGGGGCACTGATGGCATGCAGGACAGTGGCGCACACTATGATAACACACAGTTGCCCAGCATTCCTATTGACATCGACAACACAGAACTGTCTAAGGACCTGCCTAAAATGAATGACTTTGCAGATCCAAATGATTCAACACCACGTGGTCTGACAGACTTGGAGATTGGAATGTATGCATTATTGGGGGTCTTCTGCCTCGCCATACTAGTCTTCCTAATAAACTGCATTGTCTTTGTTCTCAAGTACAGACACAAACGCATTCCCCCAGAAGGACAGGCCAATATGGACCACTCACATCACTGGGTGTTTCTAGGCAATGGGCAACCCCTTCGTACTCAGCCCGATCTCTCACCACAGCCCGAAAGTCCCGGCAACCCTCTTGAAAATATCCAGACCTGCTGCCACAGTGACCACCAGAGCAGTGGCAGCTCACAGACAAGTGTGCAGAGTCAAGTTCACAGCAGAGCAGATGGTTCATCTGGGAGCTCAGGAAAGGAGCACAACGAGGATCCATTACACTCGCCCACCTCCAAACGCAAGAGAGTCAAATTCACCACCTTCACCACACTGCCGTCAGAGGAGCACGGACTCGCCTACAACTCCATCCCTATAGCTGATGAGGAAGACATTGAGTGGGTTTGCCAGGACATGGGGCTCAGAGACCCAGAGGAACTACATAGCTACATTCAGAGAATAAAGGAGATTGCCTAATGGCTGCTTTCCCTTTTGCTGCATTTATATTTACGACACTTTTCACACGTACAGTTTTTGTTCTGCACACGGGGTGGGAGGCTGCGTTGCTCGAAGTCCAGCTGACCAAGAAAGCACTATCATATAATGCTTGTGTGGCAGTTTATAAACAGTGGCTATCGGCTACTGATGAGGTTACAGTAATTAAGGATTTGCAATGAGAAGCTGGCCAACCCTATTGCAAAGATTATAACCTACCGAAGGTCGTATTAACAATACATCTTAAGGGAAATGGAATCCCTTCTTATTTATATAAAATGACTGCTATAGCACAGAGACAATAATCTGCCAATAGTCAAGCAAAGGAATGCTGGGATTGCTTTGTGTAAGAACCAGAATGCAACAACATTGGTGTCCTGTAAAAATGCTGGATCTTAACTTGGATTTTAATAGGCATCAGACTGTGCCACACACAAGGGATTAATCTGAATGTGTGAAGCAAAGATCAAGGCTTTAAACAAAGTGGAACAGGTTGCCAGGAACCAAATTTATTGCTTAACACAAAGTGTCTGTCGAATGCAGACAACAAAGAGTAAATTTTAAATGTCCTAATCACAATTTGGATTTGTGGTCAGGTTAATGTTTCGGGAGTGTCCATTTCATCCAGATTGAGATCCATTCAATGTCAGCCGCTGAAGCTGCATTAGCAAATGAATTGCTTATATCAGACCCAGGTACAGTTTCTGTGGTTGTTATAAAAGCCGAATGCTTCACACGTACGAGTGTTTAATCAAAGTGATGAAAAGAACATCTTTCTCTGTATTTGAAAAACAAATTATGGTGTATAAGTTCTCAATGAACTGTGACTGCAGCAATCTACAAACAGTACATCTCTTCCACTGATCTCATTTTGTTTTCAGGGAATAATTTTAATTTAATATTGTATATTTTCAGTGCCACGTGTTGGGTATGCAGGAACAGAAATGTTCATTTATATGAGCTGTCTTAATCCACAGCAGTGGAAATCAATTTCTTTGGATCTTAAAAGAAAATCTCTGTGGCCATGGGATATGTAATTCTGAGGCATTATCGGGTAAAGTGTCTGGAAAATTAAGACTTCTGAAAGGAATTTTCATCATTTTAAATGGAGAAACAAGCAACTGCTTCAAATAAAGTAAGCTTAACAGAAAATTAAGACCCAAAGGACCATTGCCTTTATGCAAGTGGAAGAGAATTAGCTCACTGAGAAACGGATGATAATAATCGTTGCATTTGATAAAGCGCCTTATCACGTCTTTGAGATGTTTCAGAGCGCTTCACAGAATATACTGTAAAGTGGATTGAATGTAAATTTGTGGGCGAATATACATCCATTTGACAGAGATCTCTAAACTTTTGGCAGTCATCTGCATAGCCATTTCATCTGGTGAATAATCTTGGCCAAATGTGTGGTAGTAATGGATACAACACACTGTTGACCATTGTAAACACAGAAATTAAAGTTATAGTACTCCAGTGTATGTAAATCCTAATTTTCACACACTGTTGTCAACCTTATAGCAGAATAAAACTGTGCTTAAAGTGACAATAAAATGGATTGCCAGATTTTTCAATGCTAAACTTAGCTGACCTTAGCCAGGGCAGTAGTTGGTGTCAGGGATGTGCTAGTGTGAGAAAGAATCAAGCTGGCTATTCAACCCTCCCACAACAACACTTGTATAGTGCCCTTCACGTCGGAAAGACGTCCCACCCTCTCCTCTTCCGTGGTGAACAATTTGCCAGCATTCACATTGCAGGTTCACAGAAGAATAGTCACCTGAGCGAGTAGGGGAGAGGAACTGATACCCAACGACTTCAGAAGAAAGAAAACTGTAGGAGTTAATATTAAAAATACAACTAAACCCCTTGGATAATTAAGCTGAAGGCTGGAATTGTATTGGACAGATCTTTTCAAAGGTTTTTTTTAAAAATGAAAGGACATTATTGTCAGTGTGGAAAAACGTGACAAAGCCCTCGTGGAACTTGTGCATATGGCAATAAAATATAAAACTTATAGCACACAGTATCATATTTCAATCTGATGCCCTTGACAATCTTTGAATATGACAGCCAACAATCACAAGGTAAGAAACAAGATTGGTTTCTATATATTGTAAAATGGTGGATGATTTTTCTGATTTGGGACAAGGAAATCACTTTGATACTGTTTTTGACAAGTCTTGAGTTTCATAGAAGTTGGTTTACTGGAATAATGGGGGAGGGAAAATGGTGTGCATTAGAATGTGTAAAAGTGTTTAAACCATGTGTGGAATAGAGGGAATATACAGTCAAAAATATTAATAAAACAGTCAATCTACAGATGAAGATGATGAAAAAAAACTTGACTATTTCATTGTTGAGTAACTTCTATTCATGTGGTAGAGAGAGACTTCTGAATGCATTAAATATGCTACTGTCATGTAATTACTTCTATGGATTGCCATCGCTACTTTCGCCCAGTTAACCATTCAATTGCCTTGCTGAAAGCACTATAAACACATGCATTTTAGTGCCATTAATAGGGCTTCTCCATAGTATGTGGAGGAGAGAGCCTTGCTTAAGTCACAGTGCTTAAGTCATGTGAAGAGTAGCCCAGGTTAATCATTTAGGGAGTGTGTTACAATCTCTGAAGGATCTTCCACTTAATTTTCTGCATAGCACTAAATGCTAAATATTCATGATAACATGGTGGAGCAACTGAGGACCCAAGTTCTGCTCAAGATTCTTCTCCAAGATCTAGTGTGTTTTAATTATATTATCTTTATTAAGTGTCAGCTTGGCTCAGCAATAGCACAACAAAGGTTGTGAGTTCAAATGACACTGCGGGACTATGAACTCACATACTCTAAGCTGACACTCCAGTGCTGGGGCCGGTGTTGCATTGTTCGAGGTACAGATCCTTAGGGTGAGATATTAAACCGAGGTCCCGTCCGCCTGTTCAAGTTCTGGCCAACAATCCCCCAAATCAGAGTTGGCCAACTTGCAGCCCATGGGCTGATTATTTTATGCGTGGGTAATACAGCCCACAGACCACAAGCTTTCAATGCCCACCTGCTTCCCCCCCCCCCCCCCAAAAAAAAATGGTCATTCACTCTTTGGCTGTTTGTGGAACATTGCTGTGTGCGATTTTGCTGCTCCATTTGCCTACAAATACACAAACACTCCATTTCACAGTAAATCCTGTGAAGCGCTTTGAGGTGTCCTTTCGAGGTGATAAGGAGCCATACCAAATGCAAGGATTATTATTATTTACAAGCTTCGATCGTAAGAATGCAGTTTGTTCTATGCATTATTTCACATAAAACCTCCATCCTTGAAACTGCTTCATTAAATTTCAGCTGCGCCTCACTCCTGGGTAATTACAGGAGAATAAAGAATATTGCTACTGTATTAAAATGTCACAAAGCAAAGTTGCAATTGAAATAAAAAAAGTTGATTATTTTTTAAAAGTTCTATTTATAAGCGAGAATATGAGTGCAGCAGGAATAGAACATTACCAATTAAATTCCAGCCCTTGTTTTAACAATGTACCTGTCTATGGATTACCACCTGTTTAAGTGACAGCAATTTTTTTTCTTTTTATATATAAAACATTTGAACAATTAATAGAAGCTGTTCCAAAAGGTAATGTGGAAGCTGGTCAGGTGTTTGACTTTAAATGCTGTTATGCTAAAGGTGCCGGACAAATTAATGTCAGTGGGACATTGTCAGTGGAAGGGACAGCTATGCTTACAACAAAGCTATCGCAGAATCCCTTACATTGTGTGTGTTTGTGAGTGAAAGAGAGAGAGAGAGAGAATGAGGAGCACTATCTGAATACCTGTAACTTTTCACTTTGTACAGTCAAAATCTAATCTTCCTGTAAGAAAAACTGTATGCATCATAATCTTCAAACACACAGTTATATCTTTGCTTCAACCCTTTTTATTAGTTCTTGAATAAAAGTTTAAAAAAATGAAAAAAAATTGCCAGCAGGACTTTTTGTTTATATGTATACTATTGCTCATACAGGGGCAAACTGTGCGGAGAAATAAAGCTATTTATTTATACAGCAGCCAATCCTGTAAATACTCTTCACTATAACATCATGTTAATAAAACATTAGGTGTATTCTGTGGTGGGCTTGTTACATTGTGACTTACCAAAATGTCTGTGTCCAAATAAATAAAAAATATAGGATTCTGGTTGTGTTTTCATTGGAAGAAAAAACCTGGAAAAACCATCCAACGAGGCAGTGCTTGCCTTGGTACTCCGTAATAACTTCACGTAGTTTAAGTGCAAGTGAACAGAAGACAGAAAAAGAATGAGCTGTTTTGTTCAAACTAGGTACAGGGTCTGCTTCGACCACCCGCGTCAGGTACCAGAATAACATGCAAAAAAAGTTCTCACCATTGTTTGGGGGAAAGAAAATAAAATTGTCGATTCATCATTGGTTGACTTTAACTGAAGATAACCAATAATAGTCCTTATTTGTGATCTCGCGCTTACATTTGATTTTGTTTGCAGTTCTAATTACTAGATCCTAGTTTTAGTTTCCAGGATCAATTACAGACAGCCTCAACTTCTCATTTTGGCATCCAGCCTGACATCAACCAAGGTCAGTTTCACAAAGGGTCTTGGACCTGAAAGGTTGACTCACTTTCTCCATAGATGGCTGACCTGCTGAGTGTTCCCAGCAACTTCTGTTTTTGATTCAGTTTCAGCTGAGTGGTCGGAGAATAGCGCTGGCAACACTAAACACCAGGGCAGCTTCAGCCAAGTTGATCCTTGGTGGATCACGGATGAATGAAGTCCAACGCAGATAAATAAATGCAAGGTACAACACATGGAAAGTAAAACGAGGGAGTGTACCTTCTTCGTTTGATGGGGTTGAATTTGTCAAGAGGAAGTTGAAAGAGACCTAGGGTTGTTATTGTTGCTCACCATGTGCAAACATTGTAAAACAGCAATACAAAAAACAGATACATTGCTCAATCAGTTGAGTTCACATTCACAGAAGTCATGTTCGAGATATACAATGGTTTGAATTTGGCTGCATCTGGAGTACTACGTACACTTCTGGTTAGTGAAACACTGGGGCTGTCATCTTTTTCACTGATAAGCATTTAGTTTGGCCACATTTGGCTTACAATCTACAAATTGCTTGCAGTTATATTTGAAATGAGATGCTCATATTATACCCAAACACAGTTTACCTTATTCACAAGCAGAAGATGGCGGAATTCACCAAGGGAGGCAAATGATCTTCTCTATGGCAATTAAACTATATTAGAGAACTTTTGAGTCGTACTTGTGTTCTTAAAAGGAACAAGAATATTGTTCAGGGAAAATAAGCATTAATTTTTAATCTAAATGGATAATTGCGGTGAGGCATGGCAAAAGGAAGGAATTTAGGTATTTAAAATGTTTATGGCAAAAACAGCCTGGAAACCGAACTGGAGGATATTTTTCTACCCATCAGAGGCACTTAGTGCAGGAACTCAAAGTTAATGTGCCTTAGTAGATTGGTTGGTTTGCTGAGGGGGATATGGGGGTCTCAAGGGATATGGGGCAAGGGTGAGCAATTGCAGTTGAGGTACAGAGCAGCCTTGATCTTATAGAATGGTTTTGAAAGTTTTTTTTCTTAATCCAGTGATCAAAATAGTTTAACCTGTGCTGTAATAAGGTAGATGGTGATCTTTTATTTCTATAATAATAATCCTTGCATTTGATACAGCGCCTTATCACGTCTTTGAGACATCTCAAAGCGCTTCACAGTATATACTGTAAAGTGAATTGACTGTATATTTTATGCACGAAATGTGGCAGCTAATTGTGCACAGCAGTGTCCCCAAAGACAGCCGTGGATTGAGTGACCAAATTATTATTATGGTTTTAATCCAACAAAGACTGACGGGACGAAATTCTCTGCCTCTTAGATTATGTGGGTCCTAGATTAAATGAGTTTGGCAATGTTAACTCACTTCCTTCTGGGTGTGTAACCTCACTTGTCAGCAAATGAGAAAAAAATTATTTTGTACCATCAGGTTGGTAATGAGGTGTTGACAAGTTTATCACACATTGAAGCGTACTGATAATCTTCTTCAGATACTTTTAATTCTTGTTTTCCTTTTTAATTCCACCTTGGTTTGTTCAACTTGTGAAATTACTTTGACACACTTCCAGGCTGTTATTTAGATGCCTTAAATAGGTTAATAATAGCTCTTTTGCTGCTTGAACGGCTCTGGCAATTCTCCTATTGGATTGTTAATCTTCCCTTTGGCTTTTAATGTTCTTGTAATCGATGATCTTGTGGCATTGAGTTGTAGAATTCAGCATGCACTTCTTGTTTTCAAGCTTTTCTTTGTCACGTGTGACGCATGTTCCCACAAACATGTGGCCATTGAGTCCAGCAATTTGGTAATTAATTTTCAATGTAATATTTAATTAAGGCATAGCAAAGTAAAATATATTGACAAAAACATCAATTAAACCAAACTGCTGTGTTTTGCTTACGAGGCAATTGCTTGTGAGGCAACGTGTCTGCCATGGGTGGATTTTACCACCATATCTGGCATTGGATTCTCCGAAAAGCACACTGTAGTGGCATGTCTTCGTCATCCAAACCCACTTTGTGAAATCAGACCCTTCTGACTCTGAGACGAGAGTGCTAGCAACTGAACCAAGCTAAACCACAAATGCAGACAAGAACAAACCAAAACCTTGGACATGTTCCCAATCAACATGATTGAAGTCAAAGGCACAAATGTTATAGCAGAGTTTGGAGATGCAAAAGAACAGAATGGATTCAGAGATTTTTAATATGGTCATTGCCTAGTTTGGAAAACCTGTTTAATATTTTGTAGATTTGATATTCGTGCCCAAGACAGCAGCTGCACAAAAGGCAAGGTGCCACCAGGGAGAGATATGAAGATGCTAGTATAAGATAAGGAAATAGTAGATTGACAGATCAGGAAAAGCAACAAGCACTGTGAAGCATCACAATCCAGTCAAATCAGTCAGTGCTTCAAGATCACTGCTCGGAGCAATATTAATACCGAATGACTCAGCTGTTGTCAATGCATTGAACGTTTTCTCAAAAGCATAAGTAAATTAGGCCCATATTGAGACATGGATGCTTGCATTCAGATACCAGAGGTCCCTCCAGTTGAATTGTGATAAGGAACTTCAGAGAGATATGAATTGCAAATTTATGTCGACTTTCAAAAGATTACTCTGTGAACATTGCAGGTCCAACCACATCAACTGCAGTTAATATACAAACATGGGGAAAACATTATAAGATCAAAATTCCTGTTGATGTCCCTGAAAAAGCTAAAAAGTTTTTGAGTTATGAGTGATTTTTTTCAAGGGGGAATGTTAACGCAATCAAATTCCTTGTGATCAATAGCCTCTGCGTTTTATGCCTCAGTTTCTGTGACTCGCACAATCGTGAACCAAATCATTATGCTAATAGTCATTCTCCAACACAACAACTCCTCTTCCCTCCACAAACGGCAGATTATTCAGAACTGCAGCTCGTGTCCTCTCCTGCACTAAGCTCTATGAGTCAATCAGCCCCATCCTCGCTCGGCCTCACTGGCTCCTCATCCCCCAGAGGATCGAGTTCAAGATCCTCACCCTCACCTTTAAAGCCCTCCACAGTGGGTCTCCTCCCTGATGAAGGTGGCTTTATCCTTGTCAAATTGGATGAGTGCTGCCCTACAGGTAGATCACTGAGTCCAGATATTGATGTTCAGCTTCACCTCAGAATGACATAAATATGTCCGTTCACCTTTAGCCTCCGCATCGTCTTGGGTTCATTTAGAGATTTCAATTTGCTCTCTGCTGGAGAGGAAGCTGTGTACTGTCAACTTTAAATCATCCATTTTCAAATCCATCTACACTTAACAGCAATTGATCATCGCACTCAGACAGACAACAGTCTGCATCTTCCATGTAGGAGAACATCTCAAAGCACTTTACAAAGGTGAACTAGGGTGGCTGAGGTGAGGAGGTACTGATTAGAGGCAAGTGCGGATAGTCTCACATTGCTGAAGAAAGGTAAGGCTCATCCATTATATAAAGTTACTGTTTCACCCCCTCCCAATGGTTCTGTGCAGAAATACACAAGTAATAATCAATATATGTGCCAGAAAGGTTCAAGGTTAAATCCCTGTTGCTGCCTGAGCTTGCTGATTGATCACATGCATTTAAATGGTGGGAGTATTATAATAATAATCCTGGCATTTGATATAGTGCCTTATCATGTCTTTGAGACAAAGTGCTTAACAGAATATATTGTAAAGTGATTTGACTGTATATATTTTGGGCAAAACAACTGTTGGTGGGACGCTGCTGTGTGCAATTGGCTGCTGCGTTTTGCCCACAAAATATACAGTCAATTCACTTTGCAGTATATTCCGTGAAGCGCTTTGTGATGTCTCAACGACGTGATAAAATGCTATAGCAAATGCAAGGATTATTATTATATTTATGTAGATATTCCAATCCAGTACACACATGTAAGAATACGTGGGATTCATCAGTTCTGATACCGAATAATAAAGGCATCTGACAAAGAAGGACAGAAACAAAGTTTAGGCAGAGACAGGAAGAACTCCCTCCAGGCAGCTGAATCATCTGAGCAGAGCAAAAAATCAATGACCCACCAAAGTCCTGAGGTGCTCCAGCAAAAGAGACCAAATGTGCAGCAATTGGGTTTGATTTAGTCTCAGTGCAAACTGCATGCATAATCACTTCCGACAGGATAATATCCAGTAGCATTTTAACCAGCATGGTTTTATAAATGTAATATTTTGGGGGTGAATTTCTATGCTCTTCAAGGTGAAGGGTGTCTGTGGAATACAGTACGCTGGATGGTGATCAGGAGCAGGCTGATTTCTTTATCCCCCCCCACATACCCAGGAATCTTGTACCCAATTATAGTACCTACTGTCATCTGGTTGAGGTAAGATAATTAAGTACAGAATAGGAACCAAACTTGGATTTTGGCTCAACTCCATAGTAATTGTTTGACCAAGAGAGCCACAGCATTTATTGTCGTTTGGTCTTTCTTTGTTGACCTTCCTCTGTGACTGTGCCTGTGGTCACCTCCCCCCGGCTCGCACCGTGCTCACTTTCAAGCTCTCTGGGACACTGCCCTGCGTGAGGGGCGCAAGTTGTTGTTTGAAACGATAATAGTGGCTTCATTCAGCAGAGCAGTGTTCCAAAGGGCCAGTAAGTTTATAGTTTTGTTCAAAAGTATGAAAAACAGCCAATAGTCGGATTCCCAAAGCATGTTTACATCTACAAGCAGTGTCCACATTTGAAATCCAAGTGGTATCGGTCAATGAAACAGTGTACTTCAGCCTTAAGCACTTTCCCTAATATGTAAGTATTGTGTAACATACAAAACAGGTGACTGAAATTGATGCGATCTACACACGACTGATTCCCTCATTCTTTCCTAGATTAGCCTGCCAGCTTTGTTTAAATAGGAAAAGCATCTGCAAAGCTTATTTTGTAAACCATGATTGGACCCTGAATGCTTGGCTTCCTGATGCTAACTGAGTGCATCTATAACCAGTCAGAGAAACCCATATGATTTGATAATAAACGGCTGCTCAGGTTACTAAAGCATTCAGTGCTCTAATAGTGCCTTGCATAGTTCACCACCCAACATATGCAGAACCCTTTGAGGTGTGCTGCATAAGCACTCGTGTTGGATATAAACCAGCGAGACTGGATAGGACAAGTGGCCTGTTTTGAGCTTTACCATCAATGAATCTATGAATCTTATACTCGGAACATACACCTTGAAGAACAGATTTGCATCTTGGGTATAAGAACCTACAGGAAGAGGTGATGGAAGGGCATTGGTGAAAAGGTGGGTAATTGGAATTGAGGTACAGATCAGCTATGATCCTATAGAGTGGTGGAACAGGCTTGAGGGGCTGAATAGCCTACTCATGTTCCTATGTTCCTAGATTAATATCAACCTAATTGACACTTCACTTGAAAGAATCTTGTCAACGTCAAATGCGACACATTGATGAATGTGACTACATGGCAGATGTTTGTAAACATCGTGTTGTATCATGTTAGCAGTCCTGTCAAAATAAATCAGGAAATCAATCCCATAGCGCTGAAGCGTTTCTCCCTGAACAATCAAATATGTTATGAATTTACCCCGTGATGTTCCTTCTATTTCTCCCGAGGAATATTTCCTTGTGTGTATGACTTTTGATAGCAGATGCAGTGGCCGAAGCACTTGTGTCCAGATCAATTTTGTGATGGAGGCATGTTGAGAATAACTAGTGCCGCTGAGTAATATCTGTGCTTCACCACTACACTGCTTGCCTCCATCTCTGTGTTGTTGTTGCTGTTCCCGTGGGAACAGTATGTATGTAAAAGTATAGAACAGGCTGCCCACGGAGCCGGTGGAAGCAGAAAGTGTTGTTTGTTCCAAGAACAAATTAGATAGATTTCTGCTTGAAAGTGTTATTCGGGATAGATACGGTACATAGTTTGGGACATGATATATCAAGCAACTGCCAGGCTCGTGGAAGGCAAACTGGATGGACCTTGGTCTTCTTTCGCCAACAAATTCTCATGTTCTCGTGGACATGTTACTCAATTTCATCTTCCAGTGATCTTTCCATTGTGATTGTTCTACATTCAGTCCTTGAAGCTCTGAAGCAGATCCTAGTGGAAGTGTGCAAGGCCGTGAAGTGGGAGATGGCATTAGGTACCTCCTACGATTGGATACAGTCTGGTAATTTAAGAGCTGATGACTAATTTAATGGCTGAATGCTCTAAGCCTAGAGCACAGTAAAAAGTAAGATAATTAGGCTTTCTGAGGGCATCTGGAGAGGGGAGGGAGGAACATGATTAGCATAATTTTGTAAGGTTTCAGCAAATTAAAATCAACTTCTACAAATGTGCATTAAATCATTGTGTAATTGCAATGAGCACAGTTCATATAGTTCTCGATTCCCACGTTTAACACACTGCATCCAATTTGGGGCTATGCCTGCAGCTTTGAATCAACTGTAAATGTCCAATTAATATGCATAACACTCAGCCACTGTCAAGCATTCTTGGACACTACACCTCATGAGAGGTGCTATATAAATGCAAGTTGTTGTTGTGGCGGTTGACTTAAACCGCAGTTGCCACAAGTGCACTGAAACATGATCACGAACCCGTCTAAACCGCCGAATTAAAAAGTTTTCCTCTTACGCCTTCAACATGAATGTGGGAATTCGGTCACTTTTTCTGATACCGACTATATCAGCTGGCTAAGTTGAGTTGAGGAGGTAGATAAGTCCTTCAGCCATAGTTGTTGGAATAATGAATGTTATTTTATCACTGGCAGTACCACTGACTGCCAAGTAGGAAATCTGTAGCTTAATCATTTAATCACTTAACATAACTGAGCTGCTCTCTTGCAGGTTTTAAACAATTCATGGCTTGACGTCATTGTGAACTGATTAGTGCTGAGCTGCTGCTTTTGATTAGCTTAAATGCCGTATTTTATTGGAAAGAAATCTGGGGATGGGATTCGGAGAATCCAGCATTAGGACCTTCTGAATCCATCGGTTAATCATATTAATAAGCAAAGATTATGTTTCAACGATATCAACAACTTGTATTTATATAACACCCTTTAAGATGATATTGTTCATTTCTGTCGGTTTGTGTTAAACCTTTGTATGTTTTAATTTAAAGAGTGTAGGTGACATCTGAATACTAGTTTGGAGGAATTATTGAGTCTGTTAATGTGAGGGAGCTAAATTAGCAACAGCGAAGAGAAACTCATTACCTCTCAGCGTGCTTCAGTGATCAAGTCGTTTAAACTGTTCGTGTTTGATTCACCTCCCTCGTGCTGTTGAGCTCAGTCACTCCTCCAACACAGTTGCGGCATCTGCACTCACTGCTCAAAGAAAAATAGAACAACTTGCACTTTTGCATAGGATGAAGTTCTCAATGCCCTTCACAAAGGCAATAAAAAGGAGAGGAGATCAGTCCTACTTACTGTTAGGTAAACGGAGGCTCGTGTGTGGAGTAAGGTAACTTGCCCAAAGTTTCGCCCTGCCCTGGAATCTCACCCAGGTCATCTCGCTTGCAAGGCGAGTGCTGTAACCACTAAGCTACAGGACTCCACCTTGTCCACCTTGACTCGTAGCACGAAACTGCAGAACCAAAAGAGGCCTACACACATCTCATCAGAGATAAAGCCTCTTCTTACTGGAACGAGAGGCTGAGGTACACTCAGAAAATAATCTGCTGCAATTTAAAAGACCTTTTCTATGTCATTGATCGAAATGTCAAAGATAAAAAGTGGCATTCTGTATCCAGTGGGAACTATAATAATTACAAATTATGGGTTTCGGGCTTAGAAACTACTCATGAATTGTAGTTCAGAAAAGCTGCCCTTTTCAACTTCACAAAAAATGTAAAGTTCAGCTCCCCCTGTTGGCAAAGCCACTGAGCCACACAGTGGATGTCCAAGCAGGTCCCAGGATCAATCTGTGGATTAGGATTAATTATCTGACTTCAGTCAGGGAGTGCTGGGTCCTGTTAGTGAGCTCTGCTCAGCATAAAATTTTACAGCACAGAAACAGTCCATTTGGCCCATCAAGTCTGTGCTGTTCATATTCTCCGCGAGAGCCTACTCACCTGCTTGTTCCCCTTGCCATTTAACGTTATGCCTCTTCCTGAATCCATCCAATTATCTTTCAAATAAACCTGCAGACTTTGTCTTAACTTCGGTTTGCTAATTAAAGAAATATTGGTTGGATGGTGCCAGTGCTGCGTGTTTAAAGTCTGTAGGTTAATAATAATAATAATAACAATAACAATAACAATAATAATAATCGTTGCATTTGATATAGCGAAGTGTCACAACATTTAGACAACAACAACATTATATTTGTATAGCGCCTTTCACATCAGGAGGACGTCCCAAGGCGCTGGATGTTTCAAAGAGCTTCACAGAATATACTGTAAAGTGAATTGACTGTGTATTCTGTTCGAGATCCACAGGTTGTCTGAGTTATATAGAGACTCCACCTATCATTAGATATGATCTTTATCTTTACTCATAACGATGATCTCCTTTTGCTATGCCCGGGAAATGATTGATGAAAACTGACTGCCAAGTAATGAGCTTGGAGCTGTATAGTTTTATACTGTGCACATTTTGGCAAAATCAACCAGTTGCCTAGTAAGGCAATTATTTTCAATGATTACAAAGATTGCTACTAATAATATTAAAGAGAATTTGAACTATTCAAAAACCCAGTATCGAGTAGATAGTTCGTGTGGACTCACACCTCAGGACCACTTTAACAGGACTCAAAGCGAACTTTCATTTTCATAGTGCCTTCTCAAATCAAGAGGCTTCAGAGCATTTTATTGCAATCTGTATATATGTCTATATCCCTGGTCTGATCGTCAAGTCTATATATTTATGTATCACTGTATGCCTGTGTGAATGAAAATTATTATTATTTTAAATATTTAATTGAATTAAATGTTAAAAATGATAATGACAATTAAATTAATAATTAAACCAAGTTTAACAATTTTTTAACACAAAAAACTCCTAATACACCTTGGGATAAAGGCTCCCAGTGATAAGGCAGCTAGAATGGCAGGTTAGGCGTGTGTATAAATACATAAATAAATGTTAATAATTATCCTTGCATTTGATGCAGCACAGTATCACGCTGTCGAGATATCTCAAAGCACATATCAGAATATTCTGTAAAATGAATTGATTGTATATTTTGTGGGCGAAACGTCTTAAAAGACTTAAGTAGTCGTGACAAGTTAAGTCAGGGTTGAGTTATCAGGAGTTTGCTGTATTTTGTGGCACTCTCGCCTCCAAGTCACAAGGACTTGGTCCCATGGTCTCAGCTGTGACACTGGGCGAGTGCAGCAGGTTCAGACATTCCGGTATGATGCTGTAGCGCTGTGTCACACAAGACTTTAATTAGAGGTCGAGTCTAGTTCAGGTTAACATGAAAGATTCCATGATGTTTCGCCCACAAAATAGTTAATTCACTCTACAGTGTATCCTGTGAAGCGCTGTGAGACATCTCGAAGATGTGATAAGGCCCTGTATCAAATGTAAGCATGATTATTATTATTATTATTATTATTATTAAGACTCTATTCGGAAAGTATTGTCCAGGCTAACGGTCTTCCAGATTAATTGTTCATTCACCTCATGGCTGTTTGCAGGACCTTGAACAGGCAAATTGCCTGCCGCTTTTACCTATAAATACTATCTGCACTTGACAACAATTACCTGTGAGGTTCTTCTGACCTTCTGACCAACAGCGGAGAGTGATATCGACTTGAGCCCAGCCAGTACCCAAAGGGCCCCACACCAAAGACTGACGCCCTTTAAAAATGGCAAGAATTCTTTTCTTCTGTCTACTTAACAAGGACAGGGCAGCTGAGAGCTATTTCTGTTCTCACTTGGCATTCAGAGCAGTGAGATGTGAGCTGCTTATTATTTTGCAGTGTGTGTGCAAAAGCGGGAGTGTAAAATTAAGAATCTTCTAGCAAGACCTGAGATTAGAAGGATTTTTCTTCCTGCAGAAAAGTGTACATGTAGATTGAACTCCCACCTAAAACAATTAATGCTATATTGAGTGATACTTTTGAATAAGAATGGTATAAATATCTGGTTAGGAACAGTATTGAAGGGATAGATATAACAATGATGGAACGCTGTGTTGAATACTATGAACTATGAAGGAAGACAAGGGAAGTTTAATCTCTAACATTAAGTGAGAAGGCGTTCTACGAGAGATTTGATCGAGGGGTCTAAAATATTAAATTGTACAGATAAGACAAATCTAGAATATATTACATCAGATCGAACCAAGAAAGCAGGAAAAGTGGAAAACTGTTAGTTCAGCTGTTATGAAGAGTGTGTGATAGCTCAACCAGTAGTATGAGAGACATTGAGAAAAGGAAGCGGAAAATATCTGGGAGAAATTTCACAAGATACGTCACATGTATACATTAAGGTGTGGAGTAATTTGGAGAGTATAAAAGTATCATGAGCTTAAATGTACACACCAAATTCTTATGACGAGTTTGCAGGATTTGCGGGGGGAATGGAATGGTAGCTGTGGTCAATGCAACGGACCTAAATTTGGCATTTATTAGAAATTGGAACTTGAATGATTTTTTCCAACGTATAATCACGGTACACGTTGGCTTTTTGGAAGCGCGAAAACCAATTTGATAGGGGAGCTACAGAGAAACTATTTCCTCTGGTGGGGGAATCCAGGACAAGGTGCATAATCTTAAAATTAGAGCGAGGGTATTTAGGAGTGACATCAGGAGGCAGTTTTTCACCCAAAACGTAGTGGAAATATGGAATTCTCTCCCCAAAAAGGATGTGGATGCTGGATCCATTAAAATTTTTCAAGACAGGTATTTGTTATGTCAGGGGATCAAGGGATATGGGGCAAGGGCGATTGAGGTACAGATCAGCCATGATCTTATAGAATATCGGAACAGGCTTGAGGGGCTGAATGGCCTCCTCCTGTTCCTAAGCAAAGACGGTGTCAGAACTGTTTTGTGTGGCCCTGCTTGTAACTCCCGTTTAATAAGTTGACCGGTACATCAATTGCAAATACAATCAACCTGATTAATTACCATCTCGCTCTCCAGCTCAATGGTGGGATGAAAACCTGGCTCACGGCCAACTTGCTTTCTGACATTTCAAGGGGCACCAAATTTCATGGAGAAAATGTCTGACAAAGCTTTTTTTTCATGGCTTTGCAAATCAAATGAACAAAGGCATAAAGGAGAGACAGATACATTGCAGTGTCGCTTGCTGAGTCGAGTTGATTTAATTGTGTACAACGCTTGTCTGTTTTTTTGATGATGTCCCTGAAAACACAGCACCCCTTTATTAAACAAAAATGCAAATGGAGCAAGTTGTTTCCAGTATTTTAAATTAAATTAAGTTAAAGTGAATCTGAGAAGCCTTGTTGAGTGGTTGCCATTTAGCGGTGTCTGCCGCAGATGGAATTAAATATAAAGAACAAAATGAGATAGGGCCTAAAACAATCATGTAATTTAATTTCTGTGAGTAACTAAATGGCTACGACATTTTAAATTATGCAGTGCATTTTATTTACTAACGGGTTTGAAATGAAACTAGTGGGATGTGCAATATCACCACCCTCACACCCAGTACAGTTTGGAACACTCCCACGCTCTGTGCTGAAACTGGGATCTACATGTGTAAACAACAGCAAAATGTCATTTACACGGCGCCTTTCACGTCGGGAGGACGTCCTGAGGTGCTGGACAGTCAGGGATTTGGACCCAAACCGTGGGTTGGAATCAGAAGAGGTGGAGGGCAGGGAGGGTGGGGGTAGGAGGGTGATTGAAAGTGTGCTCGAAGAGAAGGGTCTTGAGATGGGCCTTGAAGGAAGCAATGGAGGGAGCGAGGTGAAGGGACTGTGGGATGGAGTTCCAAACAGTGGGGCCAGAGAGGCTGAAGGCCCAACCGCTGATGGTTGGGCGAAGAAGATGGAGCAGGCCAGAGCCCACTGAGCGGAGGGAGCGGACAGATTAATATGGAGTCAGCAGGTCACAGAGGTAGGGAGGAGCAAGGCCGTGGAGGGTAAAACATTTGACTATTCAGTTATAGAATGAAAAGTCTGGCAGCTGGGATTCCTACTGCCTTCTCTATTCCGCTCTTTGCCTTGGCTAACCATGAGTTAAGCGAAGCCTGTACATTCGCTCTGCTGACTGATGCCAGTTAATATTTAGTGAAAGTAAGAAATGGCAGCGTTGAGAAAGGTCATTCAGCTACCGAACCCATCCCTCCGGTACATTAACTCTCCCATCGTGACATCTCATTGTATTCTGAATAACCCCAGACTCTTTGACTCTCATTAATCTTGCTCTATGTCTGCGTGGTCTCTCTCTTTCTCACCAAATCCCTTTGACTCACGTCCCCAAGTTCAAACTTCATTTAAAAACATACCTTTTGGACTGTGCCTTTGCTCAACACTCTTAAAATTGCCTTCCTCTTTGCTCAGGTATCCTGAGTCTTTATAAAGCATTTTGAGACTTTCATCATGCGTCAAAAGCACTGTATAAGTACACGATCGTCTTTTGGCTTGGTGCATTATTTTTTAGAAACATCAGAAAACAGGAAGAGGCCTTCGAGCCATTGATCCACTGTTCCACCAGTGAATTAGATCTTGGCAGATCTTTCAATCCTGATGTCACACCCTTTTACCATAGTCCTTTGAACCTCGACACCGAATACTATGCACCTATATGTGTCATGTTCATCCTTTTGAAAATAATTTACTGTACAATTTCCAGGCCCAGTTGAATATTCCTTGGTTACATTTACATTGTTAACGCTGTAAAGCTCCCACTGCGGCTATTGTACATTCAAGGCGGTAGGTTTTCCGGAGGCTTTAAAAGCAAGCGAGACATTTCGTATGCCTTTTGGTGCAGGGATGAGATGGCGTGGGTGATAATTTGCCACTGGGAGGTGTTGTTTTCAGGGAGAGACAAAGTGCATTTAGTGGTCTAATGGAGTGTGTTGGAAATGTTAGCCCCCAGGCTAGCACTGAGCATGAGTGCTCTCCACTAATCATTTGTGCTATTTTCCGAGCATGTCAGGCAATGAATCAGCTTCCCTTCTACGCTAGCCGATTGCACTCACCCTCATTGTCAAAGTCTGACAGCCAGCTCACTCACATCACCATGGCTGCCCAAATGAGCTTTAAATAAAGTAAATAATAATAATAATCCTTGCATTTGATACAGCGCCTTATCATATCTTTGAGACGTCTCAAAGCGCTTCATAGGATTCGCTGTAAAGTGAATTTGCTGTGTATTTTGTGGGTGAAACGCGGCAGCCAATTGCACACAGCAGCGTCCCACAAACAGTCGTGGATTGCGTGACTGCAGTTTTTTGAAAGAAGAATTATTACCTCCAAATGTGATCTGCCAGTCGCCTAACAACCGGGTTCCTACTTACCACTCGGTAAACAGAGACATGTGGAGTAAGGAAACTCGCCTAAGGTTTCACCCTGCCCGGGAATCGAACCCAGGTCCTCTCAGTAGGTCCTCAAATTCAATTGGTTTGAACAGTGTAGCTTATCATTGTGTTTGTTACTACCTCTCATGGTTTGGCTATGGTGAGTGAATCAGCTGCTCGTTAGATCAACCAATCCGAAACTTGCGATATTCCTAAACACAATCTTATATTTAAGGAATGAGATTAAAAATGTGTTCGAAATACACCCCAGGTGACATCTGATTAATGCTTGCACTCAAAGCTGGCTGAAAAGTCCTCGGTGCCATCAGTGCTGGATTCCCTTAGGAAAGCCGAGGCCTGAAACACAGCTTTCTGGGCTGCCTCAGGGAATACTAACGAAATCAGAACTCGTGTTCCAATTTTGCTACAACACTAGTAAAATTGGCAGATGTATATCGATGGAAAATTTATTCAATTAAAACCATTGTGTTTGTAGCAGCATATCTCTGGTTGTCGATCAGTGATACTCGGATGATTGGCATTAAAGTACAGAAAGGTTTGAGGGTTTAGGGCTCCATCTAATTGAAGGAAGAGAACTATAACAATAATCATAATAGTATTAATAATAATAATTCTTGCATTTGATCTCACGTCTTCGAGACGTCTCAAAGCGCTTCACAGAATATACTGTAAAGTGAATTGACTGTATATTTTGTGGGCAAATTCACCACAAGTCATGTTTTTGCTAACTATTTGATGTGAAACTCACTTGCATGTGCAGTAATGTCTCCTTTATATTTTTCCCATTAAAAAGGACTTTGACCTTTGCCTGAATTTATCCCCATTCACAGAAACTGGACTACATTCCTGATAAGAGCAACCCATTTCTGCTTTCTGACACATACCGTATTTTTGTACATTATTTAAGATAAAGAGTATAAAGAGTTCCTACTTACTGCTGGGTAAATAGAGGCGTGTGGAGTAAGGAAACTTGCCTAACGTTTCGCCCGGCCCGGGAATTGAACCCAGGACCAGTCCTCTCACTTGCGAGGCGAGTGCTCTAACCACTAACCTACAGGACTCCACAATTATAACATAAACTCCAGCTGTTGCTATGGCTGTTCCGAAACTGACCTTTTCTACTGTGGTCCTGATTTATGTTACACAAGTTAAACCCGGCTAAAGGCTGTATTGTAATTCTGGAGCTGCTCTATGTCATGACCAGGTTGAATCCAGCTAATGTTATTGTGGTTCTGAACTGAGTTTATTGTTGTATTACATTGACCCCTATGATAGCCTTAGGAGAATAGTAGTACATAACTGGAATTAACATGGAACCTACATAGTGCTGT